ATAAAACAAATAAAACAAATAATTTGAATAAAGCGAATTAAATTTTTAATTCGAATAAACTTTTAAATTCGAATAAACTTTTTCGAATAAATTTTTTTAATTCGAATTAAAGGTCACTGTATTACGAATAGAAGCCCTAACTACGATGTGATGTTTCTTTAATATGTCAGTCAATAAAGCACTATTTATCTGACCAAAATAAATACAAGAAGTAAAAAATATATACAAGAAGTAAAAAAATATATACAAGAAATATTTACAATGAGCGGGGAAAGAATCAGATAAAACGTCGATATACGATAGTGTTCCCACGGACTAAGACTTACGATTAAAAAACAATTATATACAAGAAAAAAGAAATAAAAATTAAATAAATAATTTAAGGGCGCGGGCTTTATCATCTAGTCGATCAGCGACTATTGATGATAAATCCTCTATAATGTTTGTCACATCTGTGGGTATACCGACGTTTAGCTGATCGGCTCACCACGACGCCGATCGTCTCCTTTGTCACTCCCTCCAATTCATTTACGGCCGGGAGACCTGCAAATGTTTGATATTAATTAATTGAAAGTTTTCTTAATTAATGTGATTCACATATAATTGATATAATACCTATATTCTTTCGGTACCGATTCTTGAATTGTATATATAACAAATGGGATGCCGCAGACAACTCCTTTAATGTCAATTCCTTTGTCACCCGGCCCTCTGTATAATAAACAATAATGAGTATAATGCGCCATTATCATCAAAGAACTCGACAAAATAACTCAGTGAAAAACACTCACCCAGTATGTTCACACTCAATCCCTGCATCCCTCAATATGTTTACAACTGTGATTTCAAGTTGACGGCCTTTTGCTACCGAAGAAAGCATTTTTAAAAAAATTTGTTTTGGAGGAAAAAATTTTTTTTTATAAATAACTAGAAAAAAAAGATCTTTATAAAATTATTAGAAAAAAAAGATCTTTTAGATTTTTTAAAATACTCACATCTTATATTTATAATCGATTGAAAATGTATCCAGAATGTTCTATACTAATATCCTTAGTCAGTGTCGTTGTTTTATTATTATATAACGCGATGAAAAAAATTACATAATTTTGTTTAAAGAATAGGAATTTCACAATATGTTTATTTATGTTCCTATTATTGATAAAAATTGCTTGATTCTCCATTAAGTAACAATATATTGATCATCTGAATTTAAACAAGCTAAATACTGGTAGCTTTTTTAAAATGCTTTCCTTCTATTACTATGAGGTAATTAATTGAATTGTATGTGGTCGCAGAATAAACAAAAAAATAATAAGAAGAAGAATTCGATGATTCTTACGAAAAATGGTAGAGTTGGTAATAATAATAATAATAATAAATAACGAAATGAAAGAATATTCATGGTGACGGATTACCTTCTCTCTCTGAGGTTTGACAATCATTCACAAATAAATGAAGGTTATGCCAAAAAGTATATATTTGATTTGTACGCCAATAAATAAATATGTAATGAAAAATATAAAGTTGGCATTTTTCCATTACAGTTTAATATTAGTAAATATATTAGCAAGTAAATGGAAATGATCAACACGAGATAATTAATAGTGATAGTAATAAATGAAAACAATATTCTATAAATTTAATCCACGTTATTTTTTTGATGAATAAATGTCCCATGACATCCTTGTTACTCTATTGTCCTTGTTTTTTTTACTAAATGTAATTTTTGGGAAGGATAATATTAAAAAACAAGGTGCAAATCGTGAGAAATTAATATTTTTTTATAATCAATATTATCATTCGTTATCGATGGATGGATGTGTGATATTTTTTTATTTTACTATCTACGTCTATGTCGCAAAACAAGACAGTGTTTAAGAGGAATCTTTATCGATCACAAAAATTAAGACAGGTCAACGCCTAGGACAAATCCTTTATTTTTTTTTCCATCGCAAATAATAATATAAAAGCGAACAAGTTCAACTTTTTTTTTTGATGTAAATAAAATTGATTGATACTTTTTTTTCAATCTTTTCAAAAAAAAAATTGCCTTTTCAACAAATAATAACAATGACATCTGTTTTTCCTTTATCAAAACAGTCTCTGGTGCTTCTGTTTGATATGATGACAACGAATTCATTTCTGTACAATATGCAATTATGTTGGTTGTTGGTAAATTTGTTCCGGAAAGTTCTCAACTTGACATACTAGATGTTGGAATCGACTAAAATAGTCGACTAAACTTTTGAACAACTAATAGTCGACTACTAATACTACTAATACTAATACTAATACTTATTGTCTGACCAATTCCGATTTTATTAATACTTCTAATACTAATACTAATACTAATAATATGCTAATATTATTATTGTCTGACCAATTACGATTTTACTAACACTACTAATACTAATACTAATACTATGCTAATATTATTATTGTCTGACCAATTACTATTTTTGTGTTTTATCATTCAAAATGGAAAATTTCTATGCGGAAGAGTATCAATACCATCAATATGATGTTGTTGATGATAATTTTACATGCGAATGAATAAACACTTCCAATACAAGGCCCAATAGTTCATTGGCTTCAAGTCCCAATGATTTAAGCGGTGATTCCAGAAGACCTTTAAAAAAACCAATCGTAACACATGGTTTTGTGTGGAAGCATTTTGAAAAAGTGAAAGATTCAAATGGAAATGAATTCGTAATTTGCAAATTAAAAAAAAAAAAACGATTATTATAAAAAAAAATTTAGTCGACTAAAGAAATTTTTGACCGACTAGTAGTCGACTAAGGATTTTTTGGACGATTCCAACCTCTATGACATACTGTAGGTATCGGTCAATTAATAATCACTTTCTCTTTTTTTTTTAAAGAAATTATCAATTTGATATGTCAGATTTATGTAGTGATAAGCAGGCCACCTTCGTAAATATCTGTCTTTCGATTTTGACTGTTTAAAGGTGGACGAAGGCGTCCTTGTTGAATACAGGAGATTGAGCTACCTGAGTTAAAGGAACGTTTATTAATGTTGGTGCATTTCTCATTGTATAGGAGATCAAAATTTTGAATTGATCGGAAAGATGTCATAATTTTTTGTTACAAAAGTTTTAGAATAACGAATGCTATGGATATGGATAACTTCTACGATGGATTACCTTAGAGATGACTTCACCGGGATTTACAAAAAATTCTGGACTAATCTTGATCAGAGATGCTTGGATGTTCAACAAGATGGATCGGAGGCTGTTATTTGTCAACATTCGGAAAAATTCTTCAAAGAATCTGAAAAAACATAATTTTGAAACTTTCTTTTATTGTAAAGAAAGTCATCAAAAAAAAAAAAAAAAACCAACTTTTGATAAATTTTGAGGGTAAATTTACAATAAAATACAGCACCAATTATATTTACACTTGTTTCACTTCACACAAAAGAACAATATTATTTTACTGAAATCAATTAAAAAAAGCTGAAGTCTCAAATAATCTGTGAAGCAGAAAAACTGCATAGACAAGAAACTATGTTGAAATATTTGCTAGAAAATCGCCTAATAAACAAATTGCTGAAACTTACTTTGAGGAGATAGAAATATTCTCGCCATTCTACAACATTATCGTAGCTACAAAGATCCACCACTATATCAAGATGACCCACTTACTCTGACAAATTTATTGAATCGCACGTAGTGCTAACATTAATAAAAAAAGTACCTATTTTTAGATGTATGGTATCTGAGTGTATAACATTCGTCGTGCAATGCAACTAGTAGAGGTTTAAAAACTATTTTACAAATTTAGAACACCCCAACATTCCCGGAATTGAATTTCTCTACGCTGGCGTGAAGGTGAAAAACGTCAAACAAAAGAAGTGGAATATCCTTTAAGTTTGTAATTATTAATTTCGTTCTTAAACAAAAAAATTATAAATTCAAATATTAATATAATAATTGTTATTAGTATTAGTATTGGATGATGTCATTTCACATTCATTTGATTATTGATATTAATTATTCAATTATAAAAACGTGTTTGGAGAGAATTTCTTTTCAAAAATAATACAAACAAAATAAAAAAAATAAATTATTATCTATCCATAACGATTCACCTAATTCTCCAACTTTAACCTTATCAACTAACTTATTATTATTATTACTATTATCATTATAATTAATAAACAACCAATCATATTTAAATTAATAAATAATCATTAATCAACTATTTAATTTGCCCTATTAAATTATATTTCATAATTTAATAGGCTATCATTACTTAAATTCAATTTAGCAATTTCATCATTTAATATTCTACTTGTATGATATGCTAATGGATGTGATTTATGTGCTTGTTGTGAATTACCATTATCACTACTACTATTACTATTATTATTATTATTATTACTACCACCACCACCAATATTACTACTACTTTCATTAGGGCTCTCAGTTTTAAATTCATTAAGAGAAAAAATCCGAAGCCCTCCACTAGTTGGTCTCTTGGTTGGATCTACATCCCAACACCTTTGCATCATTTGCACATAATCATTAGGCATTCCTGGTAATATTGGTGGTCGTAAACCTTTGCATATTTTTGATTGCAAATGAAGATCGTGTGCCTCATCATCAAATGGTGGATGACCTGCAAATATTTCCCACATTAACATCCCAACACTATAAATATCTGTTTCTTTTGT